AAAAAAAAAGTATAAGAGTATACAAGCATTGAAAACAAAGCAATGCCTCCAGAAACCCCTGAAAAGAAAGAAAGAAAGAAAAAATTAAAACCTTAGACAAAACTATTAGCACTTATAAAAAAAAAAAAAAAAAAAAAAAAAAACGCCTAAAAACATGGGAAGAACCCCGGGAACCGAAGGGGTAAGAAACCGGCCAACAAACCTAAAGGCCGCAGTTCGAAAACTACCAGCTGTTCCGCAGGAGAAAAATGAGGCTTTCTGCTCCCGTAAAGATTTACCTCCTCGGAAATCCTGTACAGGGTCGCTATGAGTCGGAACCGTCTCTACGGTAGTTAACAACAACAACAACACTCCACTAGAGAAATACTGCAATTACAAACCATCATAATTTCTTTCTGATCTTGGGCTTCCTATGTCACTGCTGCAACTACTAACCATCTAAGTTCTTTTTAACCTTGAGTTTCCTGTGACACTTCTGCACTACAGTGCCTAGAAACTATTTAGAATTCCTTCTTCTCTCCTAACTGAAGAGAACATGTAAGATTCTTAAGTTTAATAGATCTTTGTGCTTTTAATGTTTATATCAGCTATTGTCTTAAATAGTTCTCAAGTTTTAACAAATGATGTAAGAGTCACAACTTACATTGGATCTTTATTTCAGGCCCATAATTTCAGACTTGTTTACTGAGAGAAGCAATTTTATTTTTTTTTATTCACTATGCACTGGCTACTTTATGTAGTTTTTTTCCTTAGCTCATTTTCTACTCTTACATTTAAATAAAGGATGTGGAAGGTCAACTAGAATTTTAATATTCTGTCATAAGATCTCCTTAATTAGACCTATGCATTTCTAAATCACATAGGTGGTTGTTGTTGGGTACCACTGTTTGTTTTAATTCAAACCATAACAGAATGAAACACTGCCCGATCTTGTGTCTTCCTCACAATTGTTATTAAATTTAAAATCATTGTTGCTTTCACTATGTTAACACATATTTTTGGGGTTCTTCCTCTTTTCAGCTGACCCTCAAATTTTCCAAGCATTATATTCTTCACCAGGGATTGATCTCTCCTGATAATATTTCAAAGGAGAATTCTGGCTGTACATTTTCCAAGACAGATTTGTTTCTTCTTCTGGCAGCCTGTGGTACTTTCAACATTTTTCACCAACATTATACTTCAAATGCATCAATTCTTCTCTGGTCTTCCTTTTCCACTATCCAACTTTCATATGCATATAACCCACGGCTCCTGCACCCTAGTCCACAAACTGACAGTTTTGCTCTTTAACACTTTAGAGAATTATTTTGCAGTAGATTTACCTAATGCAATATGTCATTTGACACCTTGATTGCTTCTTCCACAAGCATTTATTATTTATCCAAGAAAATTAAAGTCTTTGGTACTGATATATATTGGTCATGTTGTGGGTATTTTCATTTTGTTTACATTGAGGTGCAATACATACTGAAGACTGTAAATTTTATCTTCATCTGTAAGTATTTTAAATATTTTTCATCAAGTAAGGTTGTATCATCTGCATATCTCAGGTTGTAAATGAGTTTTCCTCCGGTCTTTATACCATGCTCTGCTATATACAAACCAGCTTTTCATATGACTTGCTTAGCATACAGATTGCATGCTAAATTGAAGGATTCAGTCCTGACACAAACCCTCTCCGGATTTTGAATGATTGGTATCCTCTTGGTCTGCTCAAACAACTGCTTCTTGGTGTATGTACAGATTACTCATGAGCATAATTAAGTGCTCTGGAACACTCATGCTTTGCAATGTTATCCACAGTTTGTTACAATCTACATAGCAATTGATGCTAATTTCCACAATCTGCATCTGCGATTTTGGGGGATGATGATATTGAGCTTCTCTATCATCTCTTCCACTGGATATAGTCAATTTGATATCTGTTTACTCCATCTGGTAATGTCCCAATGTTAAATAACATTTTATGTTGTTGAAAATAGAATCTGTAATAAGTAGTCATTGGTATTGCAAAATTCTACCATGCAAACTCCAGCATCATTTTACCACCAGTAGAAATATCGCCACATTATCCAAATACCGATCTTTCTTCTTTGTTTCCAGCTTTTCCATTCCAATCACCAATAATTAGCAATATATGTTGATGGTATATTTGATCAATTTTAGACTGGAGAAGTTAGTTGTTGTCATTAAGTGCCATTGAGTTGATTCTGATTCATAGTGACTCTATAAAGTGTTTTGAAGGGTGCAGCTGCAGTGAACAGTCCAGTGGTTAGTTACCCTACAGTGCCACACCAGGACCCCATGAATAAGTTGTGAGAATTCTTCAATTTCATCATCATTGACTTTAGTGAAGGATGAATAAATCTGAATAACAATGATATAAGCTGGTCTTCCTGGCAGGCATATAGACATTATCCTATCACAGACAGCATTATACTTCAAGATAGAACTTCATTTTTTTATGATGATGATGAATTCAAAAGCATACCTCTTTGCTGGGGACAGCATACGCAGACCCTGGGTTGATTAGTGGTAGCCCCATTAAACCACCTCTGAATATAATCAGTTTAACCCAGATGCTCTCCTTCCTCCTGAAAGTATATAGGAATGTGATAATTAAGAACAATGTAACATTTTAGATATAGATAAATGAAGCCCAGTGCCTGAGATCTTGCTCGCAAACAAAAGTTTGCAAAGTGTACAGAGACAGCTTGGCTCCTTTCAGGAACCTTGCTTTATGTTAAGTATCCTTAAGAAACCGCATGTCACTGCTCTAGATCATTTAAGCCTAAAAATTAATATATAACAGCTTGATTGAACCTTTTTTCTGTAAAAATAAAAATGTTAGATTGTTAAGAAAAACTATGAAAATATCTTAAAAGTTGTTCCTGTGAATCATTATGTCCTGTTTTGAATGATTAATCACATTTCAGTTCTGTATCCTGTCTTAATCACATCCTCCCTTTGTGAAATCACATCCTCCCTTTGTGAGTGAATTACATCCTTCCTTTGTAACAAATCTCTCCCTAAAAAAAGAGAATAAAAGACTGAGGTAGAGTTAGATCTGTGTTCAAAGCTGTGCAATGCTAGGTAATATGTTTGCAGATCTATCTACCTGCCAGCTTGCATCATATCTGTGTGTCTGTCTTTTTTGTATATATTTCGTCTCTCTCTTTCTCAATCCCTTTTGCAGCCAGATCTCCCTTCTTTGTGACATCCACACTTCCTTGTCGGGGCTGGAACCCGACATAGGACCTCAACACCTCTTGAAGTTGTCATACCCAGCATAGTAAACCATATGACTGATATAAAATGGCTCACTGGTGTCTATGATATCAATTCTTATGCATCTTATTTCATTTTTGACAGCTTACAATTTTTCTAGATTCAAACTTCACACATTGCACATTCTGATTATTAATTGATATTTGCAGCTGTTTCTTCTGATTTAGAGTTGTGCCATATCAGCAAATGAAGGCAACTCTTCCAAGTCATAGTTTGAATGTCCTCTAACCTGATGGACTCATTCTTTGGAACTGTATATGACAATGTTCTGCTGCTATTGGTAAGGTTTTCAGTTCCTCTCTTTCTTTCTAGTTTGTCTTAGTCTAGAAGCCCCACTAAAACCTGTCCACCATGAGTATTTAAAATACCAGTAGCCTAGCTTCCAGCATGACAGCAAAGCACAAGGCACCACAGTATGACAAACTGATAGATGAGTGATGGAAATCACGTGTTGGCTCAGTAAATCTTCCTGCAGCAACCCTGTGACAAATATTTTTTTTTATATATTTTACATTTCATGTTTGATGCTTGATGTTGCATTGTTTTTATAATTTGGTTTAATTACAATATGTGGATTTAGGATCTACATTGACTTACACATCCCCATCAAATTGATTTTCATTTATATAAAAATATAAATTACATTGTTCCTTTACAGTAAACCATGTTTCATATACTCATAGAGTCAGTAACTCTACAACTGATTCTTATTGCTGAGGCCCTAATTTCAGAGCAAAAATGCCACTGCAAAGTATGACAATAGTTCAATTACAATTTTTTTATTAAATTACTAAATTTTAAAATAATCATATAGAAACAATGCAGTCAGGTTGATTAAGCCAAAGCAAAATGAATTGATATAATACCAAAGAGGAGATTAAATGGTACTAGAACAACAAAACAATATTTTTGAAAAGAAACCTATATCTAGTTAATGTGTTCCCATTTTGACAAATTATACTCAACAATGGTACTAAATAAAATGCTTTTCCAACCACCTCTTAAAGGCCCCTTTGACTTCTTTATTCCTCACACTGTATATAATGGGGTTCAAGACAGGTGTGAAGATGGTATAAAAAGCTGAAATCACCTTATCATGGTCCACTGAACGGTATGATTTGGGCCTCATGTAAATGAACATGAGGGTGCCATAAAAGAGTCCCACAACTGCCAGATGAGAGGAGCAGGTTGTAAAGGCTTTCTTCCGGGCTGCAGATGATTTCATGTGGAGAACTGCAGCTAGGATTAGGCTATATGAAGCCAAAATAAGAGATAAAGGGATCAAAAGCATGAGAATGCAGCAGACATACATGAAAAACTCAAACAATGTGGTGTCAGCACAGGCAAGACGCACCAGTGTTGGTGCCTCACAAAAGAAATGATTGATTTCCAGTGAGTGGCAATAAGGGAAACTTAAAGTGGCACCAGCTTGCATTAGCCCATCAATTCCTCCTAAGAGCCAAGAACCTGCTGTCATGAGCAAGCAGAGCTTCTGACTCATGAGAATGGGGTAGCGCAGTGGGTGACATATGGCCACATAGCGGTCATAGGACATGGCTGCTAAGAGGAAGCACTCACCCCCTCCCAGAGTAAGAAACAGGAAGATCTGGGCTCCACAGCCAGTGGGAGAGATGGACTGAGTGTTTGTCAGGTAGTTTGCTGCCATTTTGGGAACAGTGGTGGAGACCAACATCATGTCCATGAGAGAAAGCTGACTAAGCAGGAAGTACATGGGCGTGTGGAGTCGAGGGTCCATGTGGATGAGGAAAATCATAATGGCATTGCCCATCAGTGAGATGATGAAGATCATGAGCACCACAGCAAAGAGAAATTGATGGAGCTTTGTATGGTTAAAGAGCCCTAGAAGAATGAAATATATCACTGTTGTGCCATTTGTATTCTCCATGGTTTTCATTGTGCCTGAAAGACCTAAGAATGATGAAGAAATGAGATTTACTTAAAAGGAAACTTGGGCATATCCTTAAGAAAACCTATTCAAATAACATAGGATATATCAATTGCTGATCTTGTATACCATCGAATCAGTTTTGACTCAGAGCTAAGCTGTATATGGTTGCTGAGAGGGCTGGTGTGTTTGAACTGCCAACTTTGTGTTTACCAGTCTAGTGCTTATCCCACAGCATCACACTAGAGTTCATATAAAGTATGGAGAACAAAACATTCCTTTAATTTTAAATTTATCAAGTTTTTTGCCATAGCTTCCTACTGTCCACAAACACTACCTTTGATTCAAAGTTGTATTATTTTGGAATAATTTGTCAATATATAGATGTTGTTATTAGGTTCCCTGGAGTTGACTCCAACTCCTACTAACCCTATGCACAATAGAATGAAACACTACCCAGTCTTGCACCATTTCACAATTGTTGGTACCCTTGAAATCATTGCTGCTCCCACTGTGCCAATCTATCTTGTTGGGGTCTTCTTTTTTGATGACTATCAGCTTTTCCAAGCATGATGCCATTCTCCATGGACTGGTACCTCATGCTAACAGGTCCAAAATATGAAAGATGAAGCCTTACCATCCTTTCTTTTAAGATGCATTCTAACTGTAATTCTTTCAGCACACATTTATTTGTTCTTTTGATGCTATTCTCAATATTCTCCTCCAATACCATAATTTAAATGCATCAGTTCTTCTCTGGTCTTCCTTATCCATTGTTCATGGATTGAGTCAACCATGCTTTAGTTCTCAAGCTATTATCTTTGCTCTTGAACACTTTAAAGAGGACTTGTGAGCAGATTTGGCTAAAGCAATACATCATTTGATTTCTTGACTGCTGTTTCCATGAGTGTAGATTGTGGATTCAAGCAAAATGAAGTTTTTGATAATTTCACTCTTTTCTCCATTTATCACAATGTTAATTATTGGTCCAATTGAGATGGTTTCTTTTTTCTTTACATTGAGGTGTAATCTTCACTGAAGGTTGCAATCTTTGATCTTAATACTATTTTTTATAATAGTAATACTTAATACTATTTTCAGTAAATACTATTTTTCCTCTTACAGCAAGCAGTGTAGTATCATCTGTATATCACAGGTGATTAATGAGTTTTCATCAAATACTGATGCCATAAAATACAACTTCTCAGATTATTTGCTCTGAATACAGATTGAAAAAGTATGGTGAAAGAATATAACCCTGGCACACATATTTTGAGATTTTAAATCATTCAGTAATCTCAGTCTATGTACAGTTTCCTCATTATCACAATTAAGTGCTCTTTGCAATGTCATCCATAGCTTGTCATGTTCCACACAGTTGAAAGCATTTGCGTAGTCAATAAAGCATTGGTAAGCCTCTTTCAGGTGTTCTGTATGTTCAGTCAAAGATCCATCTATAATGTCAGCAATGGTATTCCTACTTCCATGTACTCTTCTATATCCAGTCTGATTTTCTGGCAGTCCACTTTTGGTGTACTGTTGCAGTTGCTTTTGAATTATCTTCAGCAAAATTTTACTGTCATGTGCTATTAAAGATATTGTTTAATGATTTCTGCATTCCATTAGGTCATCTCTCTTTGGCATGGGGACAGATATGGATCTCTTTCAATCAGTTGGCCAGGTAGCTGTCTTCCAAATTTCTTGGCATAGATAAGTTTATGCTTCCAGTGCTGCTTCAGTTTGTTGAAAGATTTAAATTTGTATTCTGTCAGTTCATAGACCATTGTTCTTCATCAGTGTCTTCAGAGTTGTTTGGAATTCTTCCTTCAGTATCATTGGTTCTTTAGCATATGTTACCTCTTGAAATGGTTGAACTTTGTCCATTTATTTTTGGTATAGTGACTCTGTGTATAACTTCTATCTTCCTTTGATAGTTTCTGCATCATTCAAAATTTGCCCAAAGAATCCTTCAATAACACAAGTCGAAGATTGGATTTCTCTTCAGTTATTTCAGCTTGAGAAATTCTAAGCGTTTTCTTCCCTTGAGGTTTTCTAATTCCAGGTATTTGCATTTTCTTCTCAAGGTGCTGTTTGGTTTTCTGTTAAGCTCTTTTGCTACCACTTCTCTTCAATTTGCTTTAGTGTCTTTATGCTTTATGGTTTAGAGCAAGTTTCAGAGACTCTTCTGATATCCACTTTGGTCTTTCCCTTCTTCTCCACTTAGGGACCTTTTCTTTCCTCTTGTATAATCTAGATTTCATCCTGCAACTTCTCAGGTCTTTGGTCATTAGTGTGTAATGGATCAAATCTGTCTTTGAGATGATCTCCAGATTCAGGAGGGTGATTTTCAAGGTCATATTTTGGTCATATATGTACTTGTTTTGATTTTCTTAAGCATCAGTCTGTACTTGATTGTGAACAATTGATTGTTCCAAATTCAGCCACTGGTCTTTTTTTAGCTGATGATATTGGGCTTTTCTACCATCTCTTCCCACATATATAAACAATTTGATTCCTGTGAACTCCATCTGGTGTGGCTCCTTGTGTACAGTTGTCTTTTATGTTGTTGAAAACAGGTATTTTCAAATAATAAGTCATTGCTCTTGCAAAATTCTATAAAGCAATCTACAGCAACATTTCTATCACCAAGGCCATGTTTTTCAAATACTGATCCTACCTCTTGAATTTGTCACTCCTGGCATAATAAAGCATATGATTATCATATTAAAAATGGCCAATGTCAGTCAATTTCACCTCACTAATGTCTAGTATACCAATCTTTATGCACTACATTTAACTTTGCACAACTTCCAATTTTCCTAGTATCTTACTTCATACATTCATATTCTGATTATTAATGTATGTTTGCAACTCTTTCTCCTAATTTTGAGATGTACTCCAATTATCAAGTGAAAGTCCTAACAGCTTTACACCTTCCATGTCATCATGATCAATTCTAATTTGAGAAGGCAGCTCTTCCCCAGCCATATTTTGAGCGCCTTCCAATCTCATCTTCCAGCACTGTATCTGACAATGTTCTGCTGTGATTGATAAGGTTACAGTGCTAAACATTCAAAGAGTAGTCTGTCTCTCCTTCTTTCTAATGTGTCTTAGACTGGAAGCTCAGCTGATACCGCTGACATCTAAACTACTGGTGACATCACAGCAACATACAAGACACCACAGTATGACAAGTTGACAAATGAGTGGTGGTCAGTAAACTGTACCTAACAAATTTCTCATGATATTAAGAAACAATAATTATGCAACCCAAGTTATTTATGCTTCGGCTATTTTTATGTTGGAGACAGATTTATGCACTTATATTGAGGCTATATGTTTCATAATTATTTTTGAATACATCTGTCATTTGCTTCATGTTTCTTCACCTTCAATATTAATACAAATTAAAATTTCAAAATATACAAAAAATGTTCAATTAATAAAACTAATTTTAATGGGGAAAAATTATCTTCTCAACACTTACATGCAACTTGTACTCCAAATACACCATGTTTTCAGTAACCACATATATGATATACCTCATAATATAGTGAGTTCTGTTTGTGATTATGATGTCTATGTCTCATTAAGCTTAAAACACTCTGAAAATTAAAATCTACCAAGATATATATGTTCACAAAAATACTACTGAATCCAATTGAATATATTAATTCAAAAAAGTTATTAAATTCATAAATGAGCACAATGCACTTGCACTAAACACAGATTTTTACATCAGTTTGGTCATCAGTAACCTTACTTTTAAAAAATAGAAGCAATCTTTAATTATATCTTACCCAAATGATCTTGTTCTCACAAAATGAGCCTGATGTCCAGAATCTCCTACAAATAAATTAGATTTTTCATTTGCATTCAGCAGAAACTTCTTTTCATTAAAATTTTAACTTCCATTTATTTTAAATTCAAGTATTTTGGGTGATAGCAATGAATGTATATGCAAATGGTTTCAGCTATTACACTTAGGTAAGGGGTGTCTTTTATTTACAAATTCAGATTGTCAAAGACAACTTGCAGCATAGAGATGCTAAAGAAATAAAGACTGAGGAGAGAAAAGAGCTTAATAGAAAACTTCAGCTCAAGAAGAGAAAGTCAAATATAACAAATTGTGTAAAGACCTGGAGTTAGAAATGAAAAGCTGAGGGAATGACAAAAAATATAACCCTCAACTCACAATGTTGAAGGATTCTACAAGCAAAATATTAAATTATGCTGAAAGCATCAAAAGAAAATGAAAAGATTACACAGAGTTACTGTACCAAACAGAAATGGACAATGTTCAACCATTTCAAGAGATAGCATATGATCAAGAGCAAACAATGAAGAAGTCCAAGGTACATTGAAGGCACTGGCAAAGAACAAGGCACTGGGAATTGAAGAGATACAAATTGATATCTTTCAAAGCACTGATGTAGCACTGCAGATACTCACTCATCTATGCCACGAAATTTGGAAGACAAATACAAGTAGTTATAGTTGTCCAACTGACTTAAAGAATCCAGATTTATGCCCATTACAAAATGAGTGGAACCAATGGAATGTATAAGTCATCAGAAAAAATCATTAATATTGTAAGCAAGTGAAATTTGACAAAAGATAATATGAAAATGACTGCAACCACACATTGGCATGGATATTCCAGAGGTTCAAGCAAGATTTGGATATCATTGCTGATGTCAAATGGCTCTTGGCTGAAAGCTGAGAATACCAGAATGATGTTTACCTGTACTTTACTGACTATGCAAAAGTTTTCGATTTTGTGGATCATAGTACCTAAATCAAAAGACAGTTGTTTGAACAGAACAAAGGAACACATAATGGTTTAAAATTAGGAAAGTTGTGCACCAGAGTAATACTATTTCACCATATTTGTCAATCTGTATGCTGAGAAAATAATCTAATAAATTGTATTATAAGAGGACTGGAGGAAGACTCATTAACAATCTGCCATATGCAGATGATACAACCTTGCTTGCTGA